GACCATGGGAGCAGGAATGAGGGGCTCATCTCCAGAGCCTGGGGCAGGGCCCCCGCTTCTCGCCCTCACGGCTCGCTCCTCCCGCAGCAAATCCCCACGGCGCACAAGGACTGGGTGTGCGCCCTGGCCTTCGTCCCGGGCCGCCCCATGCTGCTGAGCGCCTGCCGCGCAGGCGTCATCAAGGTCTGGAACGTCGACAACTTCACGCCCATTGGCGAGATCAAGGGCCACGACAGCCCCATCAATGCCATGTGCACCAACGCCAGGCACATCTTCAGCGCCTCCAGGTGGGTGCCGGGCAGAGAGCTCTGCTCCTGTTCTCCACCCTGTCCCGGGCGCTGTCCCCGCGGCCAGGGCATGGAGCAGACCCCACGGCGCCCCTGGCCTGAGCCCGCCTTCACGGAGCGCCCACGGGGGATGCTGGGCCCCAGGCTGGGGCCACCCCCCGTGTCCCAGCCCTTCCTGCCCCTGACACAGCAGCCTGGACCCCTGTGCAGGCATCTCAGACCGCAGAGCAGCCCGCCTCCCTCAGCCCCAGCTCTGGTCCCACCCAGGGACGCCCAGGCCCTCTGTCCCAGGGGCAGCTGCTCAGACGGCCTCTTCTTTTTCCTTCTTGTTCCGACCACGTTCCCTGTCTCCGCCTCCCCCTTCCCGCCTCCCCCTGCCTCTCCCCCCACAGTGACTGCCGGGTAAAGTTGTGGAATTACGTCCCTGGACTCACCCCCTGCCTCCCGCGCCGAGTCCTGGCCATAAAGGGCCGAGCCGCCACCCTGCCCTGACCTCCGCGCCCCTCCGCTCTCCGCTCCCCCCACCCTCCCCCTCTTGCCTTTCCCCTCTTTCTCCGCTTCGATCTGAGCTGCTGCTTAACGGTACGAGATGATTTTACCCCCCTCCCTCCTCCCCCCCGTACCCCGCCTGCCCCGAGACTTCTTTCCGAGCGTGGACGGGGGCAGACCCCCAGGAGAGGGGTGCCAGGTGGCAGAGAGCAGAGGGGGAGCATTCAGGCCTGGACAAGACAAGACAAAATGGCAACAACGGAGAGAACCCGTGCTAGGAATCCTGCGGGGCCTTGGTGACCACAGGCCCCTCCCTCTGCCCAGCACCCCTCCACCCCTGCGGCCGCCCTCGGCCTAAGCAACGCTTGCCCCTGGGTCCCAGCCCCGCCCGGCAAGTTGGGGGATCTGGCCCATGCTTCATTCGGGGGTGGCCCGCCGTGGCCTCTTCAGGAATTGACCAGCCCTCTCTTGCTCCACCCAGTGACCTGACAGTGAAGTTCTGGAGTGCCCGGCGCCTGGTGCCCAGCGGCCCCCACTAGGAGTGAGCTCAGAGGACAGCCTGACCCTCGGCCCGGCGGGGCGGCGCCCGGGGGACAGAGGCTGTGGCCCTCCTGCCCGCCCTCCTCTCCCCGACCTTCCCACGGGACACTGCCCCCGCCCTGCGCACCACCTCTTGGGGACAGGGAGGTCGGGGAGTTAATTAAGCTGTGAAGCCAAATTAGGGGAATTTCTCTCCCTGCAGCGTGCCCCCACCCCCCAACCTGTCCAGTGTTCTCCTGCCGAGCTGGCCACGCCCTTCCTCCAGCCTTGGCCCGGGGGGGGG